CCCTCTGCCCCACCCACTCCATTTTTATTGTCAACCGTTTTATTCTTCTCAAAGCATTTGTCTTTTGCCTGCCTACTTCCTCTCCCCGTTCTGGAACCCTGAGAACAGGAACCTGATGCACTGCGCCGGTTTCATCTCTGGTCTGTCAATCACGGCCTGGCGACAGTAAAACTTTGCCAGTGAATGCATGCTTACACGGTTGGGTATTAGGAGATTTGTATGGATTTATGCCTTCTCTCATAAAGTCTTCATTATAACCCTGGGATAATTGTTCTTACTAAAAGCTACACAAGTTCATATTTTAAAAGTTTGGTGTTTTGTCTCTTCAGTCTTTTATTAGATTTCAAATTGTTCAGTGCACTTCTTAAAAAAGATTTTATTTATTTACTGTCTCTTCCGAGAGAGGGAAAGGGAGGGAGAGAGGGAGGGAAAAACCAGTGTGTGAGAGATACATCAATAGGTTGCCTCTCATGTGCCTACAGCTGATGACCTGGCCTGCAACCCAGGCACGTGCCCTCACCGAAAACGAACTGGATACTTTTCAGTTCACAGTTCAGCGCTCAGCCCTCTGAGCCACAGCAGCCAGGGCTGTTCAGTGCACTTTTATTTAATCATAAATGCAGTGTAACCTTTTCCTCACACTGGATATGGATGCCCTTAAAAAATATTTTTAAAAATGTCTTTGTCTTCGAATCACATTCTATTGTAAATTTCAAGTCTCTCATCCTTCAAACATTGCCCTTTCTAATATCCAAACTAAATTTTTCTCAGGAGTAAAGAAAATTTAAGTCATAGTAAGGTGGTTCATCCCCCTAGCATTTTATTGTAAAATTTTTCAAATGTACAGTTAAGTGGATATAATTGCACACATACATTCACTACCTAGGTTCTATAATTATTAATTTTGCTACATTTGCTTTTCTCTCTCACTCTATCCATCCATTAAACCATCTTATTTTTTATGCATTTCAGGGTAGGTTATAAATATTAGCATGCTCTGATTCTTTCTCATATTAGTATGCATAATATTAAGCAGAAGTCAGTATTTGTTTATGTTTTTACGGTAAATTGTACATGAGTGAAATGCATACATCCTAGATATAACATTTGCTGAATTTTGACAAATATTGAATCTAAATCCTTACCAAGGGCTACAGTATTTTCAGGAGACGGTGTCCTCATGCCCCTTCCCAGTCAATCCCTGTCCAAGGACCCCTGTCCAACAGTAACTACCGTTGTAATTTTTTTCTGCCTAGACCAGTTTTACCTATTCAAATGCCTTGTATAAATAGAATTTTACAGGATGCATTTTGCTATGTTTGGCTTATTTTATTCAATATGTCTTTGAGATTCAACTATGTTGTTGCTTGTATCAGTAATTTGTTCTTTTTATTGCTGTATAATATTCCATTGTGGGAATATGCTGTGTTTTGTTTATCCATTTTCTTGTAGATGCATACCTGGGTATTTCTCATTTGGGGCTATTATGAAAACATTCCTTATGAATATTCTTGTACAACCGAACATAGTTGTTATTTCTTTTGGGTAAATACATGGGCTTAGTATTGCAAGGCCAAGGGGCGCCTGTATGGTTTTTTTAAGAATTGTTCATTGCACAGGTAATGTGGTGATATGGTCCTAACTTAAAATTCGGCGATGAAAATGCCCTCTTTCTATTTCATACCCCTTCTTTCCAGTTTCCCACTTCTCCAACAGGTGGATAAAGTTTATTTTCTTTATCCTAGATGTTTTCACACATCTGCAAACCTAAAAGTAGCTCTGTATACACCTCTATACTTTGCCTTCTAAGAGATTTTTGTTTTGAGTCATCTTATTTATGGGTCTTGTTTTATAATACATATCACCCAAACTTGGATAGCCCTGCGTGGATTCTACTTAGACAATTCATGAAATGTTTGATCATTTGTATGCTTTTTATGCTAATGTATTAAGGCAGGGATGTTAACTTCTCCAGCTCTCATTACTTGAATTTAATAGCTATACCTTTAATAAGAAAATTTTAACTTCAGGGTTTTTTTTTAATTTAGTTATTTTTCAAGTACAGTTTTCTGTCTATTTCTCCCATCCCAGCCCACCCCGCCCCATGCAACTTCAGGTTTTTTGAATTTAGCAGGTCTGCAATCTTGTTTCTGCACCCTAGAAAGTAAGACTTGAGCTGCAGTAGCATCCAATTCCTTTCCAAAGTAACACTCAAAAGTTGTGGTTTTTACGCCTTCATAATCTGTAAACTCAGTCTGTTCCAAAACACCTTGGTCTTGTGTTTTCTCCATTTAATAACCATTTCCATTAACATGAGAACTGCTAATTGACTAATATACCAGATTTGCAACTAGTATCCTCTGTAATGCAGTAGTAACATCTATATAATGTTCATCGGAGAGTTTCATATCCCATGTAACTAAGTACTGTACAGAGAGATGTAGGGGGCTTATAGTGAGGCGACTTGATTAAATAATGGTTCAAGTGTGCTGCTTTTCACAATCATCTACCAGGCATTTCCATTGTTGTGGTTACACAAACTTGTGCAAAACATTTACAAAATGACAGCAGAAATGTGCCATAGGTAAAGCCCACTGGTTTATGCAGGTACATCAGTAATATAATTGTGCCATTTCTGCTTATTACTGGGAGGAATTAAAGTGCCTTTAAACAGACTACAAACTTTAAGCTTCTCCTGGAACTTAGGAGAAAAGCACAACTGTCTTCTGGCTGTGTGACCTCAGCAAGTTGCTACACCTCTCTGAACCTCAGTTTGCCATCAGGCAAGAGAAGAGAATGCAGAGCAACATTTTAGGGTTACGATGAGGACTAAACGAGGGAGTGTGTGTCAGTGCCCACCACAGGCTTGGCACCAGTGTTAGTTTGCTCCTTGTATTGGCATAACACTCAAATACATTGTGAGAAAGGGGGGAAGACTTTTAGCTCAAAACAAAACAAAGGGTTATCTGCTTGTTCCTAAATTATGTAAACAAATAATTCATGTTAGGACCACAGGTGTCGTATTAGAAATGTTCATTATAGTTGAGCATTTGGACCATTTGTAATAAATACTCTTCAAAGCCTACATTTTGAGGATGAATTCTGAAGGACTTAAAGAACTGCAAGGGTAGGTTGTGCTTTAGAACTTTAATCATGAGGCAGAGAAAAATGCAATAGAGCAGAGGACTTGGGCGTCCTGACTCTAACAAAGGTACTGCTCTTTCTAACTGGGCCAGCTGTGGTGGCCGAAAGAAAAGTTACTGAATTTTGGGTCAGAAAACCCCAGCTTAAATTTCCTATAGATGTGGTCGTGCAGACTTTTGTACCTTAATCTCTATGTACCTCACTTTCCTCATCTATAAATAATCATCTTTCTTAGGCATTTGTTAAGGTTAAATGAATTAAGGTATTTTATTTTATCTTAGTTTTGTTTGTTTGTTTGTTTGTTTCAAAGTATACGTGAGAGTTTCTAAGTTAGAGGTAGTAGAAGTAAGCCAGCTGGGCTGTTTGGGCTCAAGAAACCAGTTACAGAAGCAAAAGAAGGGCCCTTGGAATTTAGGAGAGAGAAAGGCAAAGGTAACTCCCCTGGGGGGGGAGGAGGGAGAGAAGGGAAAGGTGTGGGCATATTCCTGAGAGGGAAAGAGCCCTTGAATTAAGGCATTTTTTAAAGTGTTTTAAATTTTTTTTATTAAAAAACAGTGTTTGGAGTTTGAAATTATATCAAAAGAGTTACCAAACAGTAATCATAACAAAAACACCTAGGAAGAAAAGGGTAGAAACCTAGGCCGATCTGGGGTTCTAAGTAAAGAGGAGGACAGTCCCACTGAGTTGTTCCTGAATCAGTCTTTATGTCACTGTGTTTACTACTCATCTCCTAGAAAGTTCACTTAGTCTGGCCTACTTCAGGTGTTCTTGCCTTCAACGGAGGGTGGTGGGCACCTGTTTTAAGAAATTTTTATTTACCGATTTAAGAGAGAGAGAGAAACATGGATTTGTTGTTCTATTTGTTTATGCATTCATTGGTTGATTCCTGTATGTGCTCTGACCAGGGAGTGAACCTGCAACCTTAGCCCATGGGGACAGTCCTCTAACCAACTGAGCTATGTGGCCAGGGATGGTGGGCACCTTGATTGAGCTCCTACCAGATTGTATGTCAGAGGTATAGCTCCTGCAGAACAAAATAAGGATGCTATTTCAAGAAAAAGGGGAAATGGACGTGGGCAGGCACAAACATGGAGCAAATGCCTCAAGCACTGTGCAAACGTCAGCATCCTTTGTGTGCTAATGAGATTTTTTTTTAAATGACAAATGCAGAAAAGAATACTTTTAAGAATCAGTAATGGCTGGTATAATTAAGCATTCAGCTTGTGAAATTTTGTTGAACTGTGTACTTACTATACAAGAACCTTTCAGCATGTATCGTATACTTAAATTTTTAAAAGCTTGATAACTTTTCCCGTGTGTTAGTACTCCCACAGAGCTGTTATGTGCTGAGTGCTTTAAGAGCCATTAGACCATGCTGATGTGTATCACCCACCTAAATGCTCATTTTGCCTTCCGTGTGCGCTTAGCCTTCAACGGCTCCCATAAATGGGCCAGATATTCTGTGAATTCTGTTGATTCTGTTAGAAGTTTGTTATGACCATTTTTAAGTAAACCAGAGAATTTATCTTCCCCCCAAATTTTAGGTAAAGTAGGATTTAAGTAAAGAAATAATACAGTGGATATCCCTTGGGTTATCATTTTAACTCCAAGTACAGGAATACTATTTCACTACTGGGTCCATGTTGTTTTGTTTAAATGTGTGCAGTGCAAGTGGTGAGAACATGTGATCCCAGAGAAGTCTTACTGGGGGGAGGTAAGAGACTCTGACCAGTGCAGGGTGCAAATGGTAGTACAGCTCATAGTGTACAAGGTGTTATTACAATACAGTTTACACAAATGAACACGCAGTGGTGGCTTTGTGATGAGGAAGTGTATTTGTGTTTTGTGCTGGGCAGATTCTGCCGTTCCTGCATTGCTACCAGTCTGAAGAACAACAAGTGGACCTGTCCCTACTGCCGGGCATACCTTCCTTCAGAAGGAGTTCCAGCCACGGATGTGGCCAAAAGAATGAAGTCAGAGTACCAGAACTGCACCGAGTGTGACACCCTGGTAAGGGACCCTGCCCGTACTCCTGGTTACCAGCTTAGACCACTGAGAAAACTGTTATGCAGCTAATCATTTCACCTATGTCTTTGACCTCATCCTGCCCCAACTTCCTAAAGTTTATTGCCTCAGCCTCTCTCCAATTTCATACATGTACACTGCAGGAAAATGGTCACCTGACTTCTACCATCACCTAATTTTTCAAACAGATGCTTTCACTGGCCACTTCCATTTTCTCTCTTCCCATGATTTTTATGACCCCCTATTATGGGGCCTCCATTCCTGCTACTCTGTTGCAGCCCATCAATGAATAACTTTATTATCAAATCCAGTGCCATAATTGCACCAATGTCTTCTGGGTTTTGCAGTATTTATCTCTCTTGATCACTTCTTCCTTGTTGCAGTTTTAATCCTTCAATACATGGTTAGATCACGTGAGGTCTTAGAGGCCACACAAAAGGTTCTGTCTAGATTTTATCTCAAATGCAGTAGTGAGTCATAGAAAAAGCGTAAGCTTTTGATGGGGTTTATATTTTTAGGATGTTGCTCTAGCATGTGCGTGGACAGTGGTTTGAGGGGGGCAAAGCAGGTTTGGTGAAGACGACTAGGTGGCTATCGGGATGGATCAGGGAAGGAAGCTGGATTAGAGTGATAGTGTTAGGTATGAAGTACAGAGGTTTGGTTTTTTCAAGGTGTATTTAGGAGAGAGAATCAAAGGAAATTGGTAATTGGCTGCATGTGGGGGTGAGTGAGCGTGAAGTGCCAAAAATGCGGGGTTTCCGAGTAGGTGAAGACTCTGAAATGGGGATCAGGTTCAGATAAGCAGCCACAGACTTAAATTTTAGATATGTTAAAATTTGAACTGCTAAGTAGAGGATATTTAGATATCTTCTAAAGAAAGATTATGTACTGAAGATCTAAATTTCTTTAGAGAATGGTTCTTGATTGTTAACTTGAATTATAGCCTGTTATAATTTGTCTTAGCATTCTGTATTCCCTTTGTAGCACTGACCACCGCTTGTAATTATGCTTTCACGGTCCTTTAATTTGTGCCAGTTACCCCCACCAGGTTTAAGTACCATGGAGGTAAGGACTGTGCCTGTTTTATTAGCAGCTGCATACTCAGCACTTTGAAAAGTGACTGGCATAGAGTAAGTGCTTACTGCATTTTTGCTTTTTTCTGTATATTTATGTGAGACTTAGTGACCTATTCATGGCTTCCTGACTACAGACACAATTCATGCATGGTCTTTGGGGTCAGACATCCTGGGACCAAACTCCAATCCTCTCACCTATTCTTTGTGATTTTCGGCAAATTATTGATCTAAGTTTTTGTTTACTTATGGAAAATAAGGAAAAGGGTAGTATTTGTGTCACAGGATGGCTTTAAAGGTAAATGATAAAACTTATGGCTTTTAACATGGTTTGAAATAGGAAATGCTCAAAATCAATGGCTTTTTATGTCTATTGTAATGGACTGTTGCTTATTTTTACTTGATATTTTGGTCATCATATAAAATTTAACATACACAAATCAAACTTGAGGTATTGTTTCATCATCTGTTTCTTCATCCCGCCTTTGGTGTCTGTCACAAACAAGACTGAGCTCTCAGTTATCCTGGGTGGAAACCCCCTTCTTTTTTCAACCCCCACCCCATCATTTCTGATTCTTCCCAAGTGTTTTTGCATTTTCCTTGGAGGTAGTTCTTGTATCCATTTCTTCTGCTTTATGGTATTTGTCTTGCCAAGAATACTGCTGTTCCTTCTAGAGCCATTTTAGACTCTGTTTTACTCTGGAGAACCCAGGCCAGAGCACCATTCCATGAGGCTTTCGTATTCCACTCTCCAGGACCGAACAGCTTCCTCTTCACTTGGTTCCAGAAGCACCTTTACAGCAAACACAGCGGCTGTCTATGTTTCTTCTGTCCTCTCTTACAGTGTCTTAGGTATTTTTATCTCTAGAGTAGCCAGTGTATGAATTTATCAGTTTATTTGTCAGTATATAGTCCCCAAATTGCTAATTTATGTAAGGAATGCTTTGCTTTGTTGATGAAGGAATACAAAGAGGAAGAAAGAAACTTAACACAAGTAGTTAGTGAAGAGATGAGAGTATTAATGGGCCGAGTTGGGTGTTAAAGATTGTATAACATTCTGTTTCAAGACGGTTACCTAGATAAGTCCTAGTTTTTACAGCTTTTAGATGGATATTTGTAAAGGCAAGGGTTTGCTTTTTATTTTTGGTGTTCTGTTAAGCAATTATAACTGTTTCCTTGACGTGGTAGATTTCAAGTTTGAGGTTTAACTTCCGTAGCTTGGGTAGAATGAAGCAGTGTGCGTTGGCCACCTTACCACAGCTGTCAAAGCTTCCTTTAGCACAAGATCTTATCAGAGTTTCTAATGAAACATTGAGTAGAATATGTGTTATTTAGCAACAGATCCCTCATGGTTAGGGGTCTCTGAATGTATATCTGGAGGAACAAGGGCTCTTTATTTGCCCTTGGTAAAAATGGACTGCAAGAGCTGTCTTTCATGTGTGTTCTTAATGGGGCCATTAAGTATACTGTGTATTGTGAATTCATGTGAAGCTACTAGATACATTATAAAACCATGGTATTTATATCTTTCCCCAGGGCACAGAGTGTCTTTTTACTTACTATGGACATTTCTAAAATCCATCCATTTATTCTTTTTATCTCTCTTTGTTTTCTTTTCTCTCTCTTTCCCCCCTTTCCTCCCTCTTTTTCTCTTTTTTCTCTCCCCTTTTTCTTTTCCCACTTCCTTTTTTCCATCATCATTTTAGGCAATGTCATTGCAAAAAAATGTAAATTTGAGTTAATCTACGCCTTTCCCCTTTAAAGAACATACGCTTTCTAGAAGAACCAAATTTTAATAACTCAACATTTCAGGCTTTAAAGTATTAGAGAAAATTAAAACTAGTGTTATTCTCCATAATGCCTTAGCTTCATTGTACTGTTGTCATGAATGCATCCTTTTAAAATCAGCTGATCCACACTATGACCTTTTTGAAAATAATGAAAGTAATAAAGCTGAGTCACAGAAGGCTTCATTGATCCCCTTTCAACAATGAGTTTATTTTCGATTTGCTTTTACATAGGTTTGCCTCAGCGAAATGCGGGCACACATAAGAACTTGTCAGAAGTACATAGATAAATACGGACCACTACAAGAACTTGGGGAGACAGCAGCAAGGTTTGTTTCAATAGAGTACAGTTGAATGCTCAATTTGATATGTCTATAAAGAATTTAATGCTGAAACTAATACAAAATAATATTGAAGGTAAACTGTAATTGAAAAAAACCTTTAAAATGTTATGTTACTGAAAAGCAAAAAAAAAAGATAATTTAATGGGCTGGAAAATTTAACGATTTTATTGTGAAAATATGCATATACTTATGTGTAAGCTCTTCACCACACTATCTGTTATTGGTAATCATCTGTTAGTAGCAATACTTATGAAAGAATTCTGCCCTCTCTAGTTTAAAAAGTTTGCATGGAGGAGCCAACCAAACACTGGAGAAATTAGGGGAACTTCCTTAGTGAAGTTTGTATGAAGGAAGACTCAAAAACAGAATGCATAATTGTTCATTTCTGTTAGGCTTTTTTCCCTAATAGGCTCCTGAAGTAGATCATGATTAAGAGGTTTTTTGTCTTTAGTTTTCCATTACTGCTGCTCAGTTCCCCAGCTGATTCCCTGTCATTTTGCTAGTTTCTTCTTAGAAAGTAGGAAGTGACATCTCTGTATATATTCTAACTAGGAAGTATAGACCTCAAGTGGGCATCCTGAATTCTGTAGTTTTGGGGGCCAGAAGAGGGCTGGAGGTGGCTAGCAGGTATAATGGAGGATATCAATCACTAACTTTTTTTCCTTTAAAAAAGAAAAGAAATCAGGGTCATTATTTTCCTGATAGCCAGAATAATTACAAGGTTTGGAATTCCTCTCTACTAAAGAAAATGATTTAAAGAAATACGTTCTCGCACATAGGCTCATGGCTTTGAAACCAAATCTGCTTATGGACTCAGTTATCCAATAGTGGTATTCAGTAGGACTGTAATTTCTTTCTCATTCCTGAAGGAAAAAGTTACTTCTGCTTATTTTAAGAAAATATACCCAACCCTGGCTTGTGTGGCTCAGTGGATTGAGTGCTGGTCTGTGAACCAAAGGGTTGCTGGTTCAATTCCCAGTCTAGGGCACATGCATGGGTTGCAGGTCAGGTCCCCATAGTGGGTGAGTGAGAGGCAACCACACACTGATGTTTCTCTCTCCCCCTCTGTCTCCCTCCCTTCCCCTCTCTGAAAGATAAATAAAATCTTTAAAAAATTCACTCAGAGCCCTAGCTGGTGTAGCTCAGTGGATTAAGCACAGGCCTCCGAACCAGAGGATCGAGGTTCAATTCCCAGTCAGGGCACATGCCTGGGTTGCAAGCCAGTTTCCTGCAGGCCAGTTCCCAGCAGGGGATGCACAAGAAGCAACCATACATTGATGTTTCTCTCCCTCTCTCCTTCCCCTCTAATAAATAAATAAATATTAAAAAAAAATTCACTCAGAATAGAGCTTATACTTTTTAACCTGAAAGTCTAAATCATTGCTCCATTTCTTTTGCTTTACTAGAGATTGCTTTGCAGATATACCTGTTTTATAGGATTAGTTCTATACACTGACATTACAAATTTTAAATGAGTATTTTAGCTCTAAGGAGTATGGGTTCTGTTAGATTGGCCACAAGGAACAACAAGAATGAAGGGTAACAAATGGGTTGAGAAAGTATGTATATTTGATTGCAAGGTTGAGAGGCTTTATAAAAAAATAAACATAAGGAACAAGTATAAAGGACACGTGGACAAAAACTAGGGGAGGGCAGAAATGGGATGGAGGTGGGGAGGCCTGGGGGGGTGGGCTAGGATGGGAGTAAAAGTCAGAAAATTGTACTTGAACAACAATAAAAATAAAAATAAAACATTTATTTTAGCCCTGGCTGGTGTAGCTCAGTGGATTGAATGCGGGCCTGTGAACCAGACAATCGCGGTTCCATTCCCCGTCAGGGCACATACTGGGGTTGCAGGCCAGTTCCCTGCAGGCCAGTTCCCAGCAGGGGATGCATGAAAGGCAACCATACATTGATGTTTCTCTCTCTCTCTCCTTCCCTTCCCCTCTAAAGATAAATAAATAAATAAATAAATCTTTTAAAAAAACCCAAAAAACATTTATTTTATTTTTATTTATTAAATAAATAAAATTTAAAATTAAAAATATATGAAAGCTAATTTAAAACCCAATTTCTTCTTTTAGTTAGAAATAATAAAGAATTAAAATAACAGAAAATGAGAAGCATTGGTGATTAATCAATCTTATAAGATAGATTACTGTTTGCATTTAAGATAGAAATCTTTGCTTTATGGAAGTTACTACGTGACTCAAATTTAAAAAAATTTTATGCTGGGAGCTTGTCTAGAGTACAACTCTTGGGGTGTAGGAAGTTATTTCTATAATGGAAAGTGAGCAAGAAATTCTAAGTTTCCATGTACTGGCCAAGCCAACAGAGTAAAAAGCAACAAATAAAATCAATTTTTGGTACATTTTATTTAACCCAAATAGAGCCAGAATATTATCATTTCAACATGTGATCAATATAAAAATTGAGGTATTTTACATTTTTCAATATTAAGCCTTTGAAATTCAGTGTGTATTATATGCTTCAGCATATCTCAATTTGGACTAGCTGTATTTTAAGTGCCCAATAGACGCATATGGCTAATGGCTACCATATTGGACAGCACAGGTATAAAGGACAGATACTGCTAGGTGTAAGGACTTAACAGAGTAGTAGCAGGTCATTTTTCATCCTTCCCTGCATACTAATTATGTGAGTTGACACTTGTTATACAGGTTAGGTTTACAGATGTGAGTATGTGAAGCACAGAATTTTTTCTTGTATTATTATGCATTAATTATTGTATTATTTTCCTTCCAAATAAGCATAAACTTGCTTTTGCCCCACCTTGTACATACTAGCAGAGTTGGAGGACAAACAACACCCAAATCAAAATTAGGAAAAGGAGGATGTAAAAGTGACAGAAAAAGCAACCCAGGGACAGGTAGGTGGACTGATACTCAGTTGCTCAGTGAATGGCTGCTTCCACTGTACTATAACCATTTCTCTAGCTTGTCCCAGTTGAGAGACACATTTACATCTCTCATGAGAAAAATTTAGGCACCAAAACCATTATCAAGATAGGAAAAAATATCACATCAGAAAGAATGGGGACTGGAAACTAGACCTGCCTACATTCTACTTTTTACCTCTAGTTGACTGACTATCTAATTGCCAACAATTTTAGTAATATTTGTATTCTGTACAATTTCCAGGTGTGTATGCCCATTTTGTCAGAAGGAATTGGATGAACACAGCTTGCTGGATCACTGTATTGCTCATCACAGATCAGAAAGGAGACCAGTGGTAAGGATTTTACATATTTCTGCAATGTCTAAACTCAATACACTAGAAAGGACACATGGGCAAAAACTAACAGGGGTGGGAACGGGAGGGAGGTGGGGAGCACTGGGGGGTTGGGCTGGGATGGGAGTAAAAGACAGAAAACTGCACTTGAACAAAAATTAAATAAATAGAAAAAATATTACATTAAAAATATAAAAAACTCAATACACATTAGAAAATTCATTTGACAGGCCTCTATTTATAGATATAAAGGCTAATTTATGTCAAGGTTATGGTAATTCTGTGATATTAACTATATGTGAAAGCATTGAATTGAAACTGATAATCAGTAATGTGCAATCACTCATTCATTTATGAAATTAGACAAAATTATGTCTTACAGATAATCATGGATATGATCAACTAAGAAGATCTAAAGTGCACAGTTAAGATCTAACTTTAGTATATTAACCATGATCAAGTCTCAGGTTAAGAACATTTTTTAATAATGCAAATAGAGTTGTCATGAAAATACACTAGAAATGAAAAGTAGAAAGTCATTCATCTTCATTAATCAATTTATTATTTTATTTCATAATCTTACACAAAATATACATGTTGCTCTTCATCTTCTGGATTCATAGTGAATGCTGCCTTTTCCTTTTCAGCTGGGCATTTTAGTTCTACTTCACAGTGTAGCTTCTGTAATTTTTATTTCTATATAGTTGTGCAATGAAGCGGGGTGATAATGATACATCATCATTTCTTTAGCCATTTTACTATTTTTGAACACCTGAATTATTACCAATTTTTAGGATTTTAATTAATATTTTATACATTTAAAGTTCTCCTCTTATTAGATGTTTTTCCAAGAAGGAAATTTCTTAGATTGATATTTCTGGGACCAAGAATGCAAAAAAAATTTTTTTTAAGATTTTATTTATTTATTTTTAGAGAGGGAGGAGAGAGGGAAAGAAACAGCAGTGTGTAGTTGTCTCTCAAGCGCCACCTACTGGGAACCTGGCCCAAAACCCAGGCATGGGCCCTGACTCAGAATCCACCAGAGATCCTTTGGTTCACAGGCTGGCACTCAATCCACTGAGCCACACCAGCCAGGGCCAAGAGTGCAAACTTTTTAATAACTTGAAATATAAAGTACATTCCAAAAGGTCTGAGTTAGTTTATATTTACATCAGCAGTTTATAAGTAAATTAATTTTTCCTTAACCTGTCCAAAATTTTATACATTTAAAATTACCCACACTTAACAGATACAAAATTATATCTTGAAGATTATTTTTAATTTTAGTTGTTTATATTTCATGTGTATGTTTATATGCATATGTGCATATATGTACATAAAAATATATACATATATATACACACATAAATATGTGTGTCATTTATATATGTATATATGAGTTTTTTTAATTTGGGTTTTAGGTGTTTTTCCCCCCATTAAATCGTTCTGGGAAGTGGATGAGATTGAAACATAAGTATATTAGATAGATAGATACAGATAGTCATCACAGCAGTCCTATGAGGTACGCGTGATTATTATCCCCATCTTACAAATGATAACCTAAGGCTCAGAGAGGTTAAGTCTTATAAAAGATGGTAAGTAGGAGAGCCACAATTTAAACACCGTCTGGCTCCAGGGTCTATCTACATGGTAAACCCCTGTACTCTACTAGCAAGTTCAAGAGAAAGCCACACAACACAGTCAAAGGTATTTATTATTAATCCTAATGGCCAGGGCATTTAGTTCTTAAAATGGCTTACTAGGAGCTTGATGCGTGTAGGGGGAGCAGGGGAGATTACAATGGGCTTTTCCTGTTCAGGTTGCTCTGTGGGAGGAGCTGGGCTAGATAGAATTTTATAATAGGTCCCTGGGGAGCTGGCGGAAGTTAGAAAAAAACATTAGGTCAGGTGGCACGGACTATCCCCTCACATCCGATGTTTCTCTTTCTCCCGTCCTTTCTTTCTAAAAGCAATGAAAAAACATGTCCTCAGGTGAGGATTTTAAAAAAAGGCATTCTTGACATAGCCTGAGCCCCGACTAGTATAGGGTCCAGGGTGCTGCTCTGGCTGGAGGAACACCAGGCGTGCTGGACCGTGGACTTCATCATAGCAGCAGTCTGTGGCAGGCCACATCCTGGTACGTCCATGTGTACTACGTACCAGCTCCTGCAGAAATCCAGTCCACATGCTCCTAAATTTGGCCACTGAAGGAGGTCCATGGAAGCTAGGTCTTCCATGATTAGATCGTTGAAGAGAGCTAACCTAGGGACAGAAGTAAAGCAGGAATGATGGGATCAGATCACCCAGGGAATTTAGTAGATAAGAACCTAGGCTTTGGAGAAAAGCTTTGGTGCAGATTCCAGCAAATCCCATTAATCTCTCTGTCTCTGTTTCATCATTTGCAAAATGGTGATGATAATGTAATGATGGCTTTTTCACAGGGTAGTAATAAAGGAGTCAGGCATATAAACTAGGCCCTAATTTGTTACATGGTGTTTATCCCATCAATAAAAGAGAGTGGAGGGGATAATGGTGAGTTACTGCCATCTTTGTATCTATGTATAAAATACATAGAGGAGATTTCTTAGAGGAATCCTTGTATTCTCATAGTTGGTGAACCCAAGCCAGGAGGAGCTGAGGAGGTCAGGTGGTAAAATTTTACAAGATCTGGGTGTTATTATGGCCTTGAGGCAGGAGCAGGTTATTCATATTTGGGGTTCTGTAATACACTGGGGCCATCTAGAGATGGTTCCTGGAACAGAAGACCTTTACGGTTCCTATGTTAGTGTTTTGCTCTTGAGTAAAAGCTTGAGACTCATGTCAATCTAAAGGATCTAGAGCCAGTAGGAGTAAGATGTATGCTGGGGTTGTGAAAGGCTTGAGGTGGATTCTGTAGCTTGGCTGAAGTTCCTGTGGTTAGGGATTTCCAGTGGGGACATGTGGCTGAAACACACTTGTAGAAGTGGTGCTGGGCGAGGAGGGCTGAGTCTGGAGCTCATTCTGGGTCGGTATGGAAGTTAGCAAGGAATTACTGCTTTGAATGACTGGATCACTGGTTTTGGCTGCAGATAAAATCAGTGACATCATTGACTTACCTGAATGGAGAAGTTTCACAGCAGTTAGAAACTTGGACAAGTGATTCTGCCTTCCAGAAATAATCAGATAATTCAGAGATCAAACCATAAGGAACTAATCTCTTTCTGAGTTGCTTAAAACTGGAGTGGTAGGTTAGGAACATTGGGGAACTTTGACTTTTCTCATATGTAGCCATAAAAGCCAACAGCTCTTGTCATTTAGTAAATATATTCTGCTATGTTTAATTTTTTGAAAAATTACATTGGTAGAATTTATGTATTTATTTATTTTAACATTTTATTTATTTTTAGACAGAGGGGAAGGGAGAGAGAAGAGAGAGAGAAACACACTAGTGTGTGGCTGCCTCTTGCACGCCCCTTACTCGGGACCTGGCCTGCAACCCAGGCTTGTGCCTTGACTGGGAATTGAACCCGTGACCCTTTGCTTTGCAGACCTGGCACTCAATCCACTGAGCCACACCAGCCAGGGATAGCAGTGGAATTTAGACTCAAAGGAGGCACATGACACAAACAGCATGCTTCAGATTGAATTGTGAGACCACTTGAGAGGAATTCGGTATTTTATCTGGCAAAGAGAAGATAATTTAGCAAGAACCATTCTTTCTGACTGTTCTCTCTGCAAGAGTGCTCTTCCTGTCACTGCTTGGCTCTTATCTTTTAGAACTCAGCTTAAATCTTATGCCCATCTTTTTTTTGTTTGTTTGTTTTAATAACTGTGTTAATTAAAACAATTTTTTATGTATTGGTTTTAGGGAGAGAGAGAGAGAAAGAACATGAGAGAAACATCCATTTGTTGTTTGACTTATTTATGCATTCTTTGGTTGGTTCTTGTACGTGCCCTGATGGGATTGACCCCACAACCTTGGCGTATCAGGATAACACACTAACCAACTGAGCTACCTGGCCAGGCACCTGAACAACTCATCTCTACAGCAGTTTGTTTCTATGAGTAGTATCTGTGACTTAACTGGGCAGAGAGGGTGTATGTGCAGACATGTTTTGCAAGTGAGAAAGTTTTTCATTAGATTTGCTTTTAAGCTCCTACCTTGATTCTGGTTATGTATTTACCTGTGATTATTTTCGGTGCATATCTCTTTTCTTTTGTTGTTGGATTCAGTCGTCTTTAATTTCCTTCCCCAGATGGCATTTGCCATCATAGGGAAAGTGTTCTATAATTGGCTGAGTTGCTGTGGAAGTTACTCTAAACCACAGACAGAGCTGAGTGTCCTTTTCGTAGATATGCCAAGGGATTGGATCCTTTGCATCTTGAGATGTTTGTATCATGACGCACTGCTATCCTTGCACTCTGAGAATTCATCCTCAGATCTCAGGTCTTGACAGAATATGCAACTCATGAAGGGTCATTGCTATTAGATGCCATCCATATGTGGACAGTACTTGGCAACCAAAATCCCTCAACAGTAAAATATGATGTTGCATGACATCTGTGCTTTTAGAACCTGAGAAGAAAGAGCGTACCAGAAAAAAAAAGAATTCTCCCATCCAATTTTTCTGTTCTTTATCAAATCAGTCATGTACACACTTTAGAAAGAGATTTCAACTTTTACAATATAAAATATACCTCAATCACAATGGAGGGATTCAAGGGCCCCTATTGAGAAAGATATTCTTTATGGGATCCCCTGTAACAGTACAAAAATAGGGGAAAAGCAAAGTTTGATGAACTGGAAGGTTGACTGTCCCCATCAGTTGTGTTCCCTGTGTTACTACCCTTATCCTTAAGGGGGTCGGGGAGGGGTGTCATTTTGAGAAACCTGATTAGGACCAGTTCAGAGGGCCTGGGACTGGATGGCTTGGCTCCGTGTATCCATGGAGCGGCATGGGATCCATTCCGTGTCTTTGGTATTTGGTGTGAGGGGTCTTGGGAAATGTGTCCTGCTGTACCCACATCAGATGCTAACATCTGGTACACTGATAATCCAAGGCCATACGTTCCTATCAGATTTTTGTACATTTTATGGATTCTGAGAAGCCCTTACATTGGCAGTTCTCAACCTTTTCTTTGTCCCTCCACATCTAAAGGATATGATGCTGGACTAAATCATACTAAATTTGGTAACAGGGATTCCTGAGGGAGGCCAAGAAATCCCCTGGGGAGAGAAGGTGATTGTATCAGAATTGAACGGGAGCAGAGGCATATAGCTGAAAAAGGACTCTCGTCTGACTCTGTGTATCACCTTCGCATGACCTCTTCTTCCCCCATCCTTAACTGGCCCGGTTACTCTGTTACAGGAACAGGTGTGAAGGAGAAGGCTTTTTCTTTCCTTTTAGGGTTTCCTTGCTTTCCTCACAGATTCCTCTGCCTGTAATTATCCTCCTGTAGCATGACTGACTCATTCCTCAAGACTCTCAGCTGAACCATTTCCTGACTTCCTAGGCAAATGAATGATTCCCTTTTCAGGTCTTGAACAGTTCGTATCTTGAATTTAGCCCTTGCTGTGCTGTATTGAAAGTATCTGCATAAATAAGAATAATAGTAACCATTGCTTGTTTGTGCCACAGAATGAGCTAATATAATTACTGAGCTTCATAATGTTACATAATGTACTACTTTAAATCTACCAAGAACCCTGCAAAAACAGAGATAATTCTTGTTTTTATAGGTTAAGATGAATGACTTGTCATGGTTAAGTCAATGAGAGGCTGGAATGATATTGGAAACTATTTTCCAGGTACTGAGACTACAGGAATGAAGGGGACACATGTAGTTCCTTCCCTCGGGGAACTCTAGCCATTTAAAGACAGGGACCAAATGGTCGTAACTATATGGCATTTATTAAATACTAATAATGTACCCATCCCAGTTAGGATAGTATCTCTCAACATCTACTCTACCAGGTAGATGGTGGTATCTCCATTGCACAGAAGAGGGAACTTGAGTGCTGAAGGTCAGACAGCTGGTGTTAGGCTTTGAACTCTAGGCTCTTTGACTTCAAAGCCTATTCAAAACAACCCTATCTTACTGGATTTCATATTCCATGTGCCTAGCACATAGTAGAGGCACAATACAAGTGTTGAAATGCCCTGGCTGGTATAGCTCAGAGGACTGAGCATGGGCCTGTGAAGCAAAGGGTTGCTGGTTCGATTCCCAGTCGGGGCACATGCCTGGGTTGCGGGCCAGGTCCCCCAGCAGGGGACACATGAGAGGCAACCACACATTGATGTTTCTCTCCCACTTTCTCCTTCCCTTCCCCTCTCTCTAAAAAAAAACAAATAAAATATTTTTTTTAAGTGTTGAATGAATACATTTCTATAATTAGTGAGTGTTTCTACACCACAAACATTTGCTAACTTTCCTATTGAAATATTTCTTGTTCTCAGCCCTTTTCACATTACTACACAGGGTCCCAGGGTAGATTAAGTGCTGTCTCGGATAGCCAGTATCGCCATTTAACCAAAGAGCGAGTGCATTAGAAAATCATAAATGATTATAAAGCAATAGTAATCTGAATGTTGTAATTTTATTAAAATTAAGATTTAAGGATTAATGGAGTAGAGCAAAATTCAGGAATGGACTTTATTTAAAGAAATTGAGGCCCTGGCTGGTGTAGCTCAGTGGATTGAGCGCAGGCCTGTGAAGCAAAAGATCGCTGTTTCAATTCCCAGTCAGGGCACATGCCTGGGTTGCAGGCTGGGTTCCCAGTGGGGGACACATAAGAGGCAACCACACATTGATGTTTCTCTCCCACTCTTTCTCCTTTCCTTCCCCTCTCTCTAAAAATAAAATATTTTTTAAAAAAGAAATTGAGCATATTAAAACTAGGACACACACACTCCCCCTGCCTGCCCTGCCCTGCCCCATAAACAGTAAGAAAGAAAAGAACCCTGGTTGTGTAGCTCAGTTGGTTAGAGCATTAGCCCAATATACCAGGGTTGCAGGTTTGATTCCCAGTCAGGGCACGTTAAAGGAATCAGCCAGTGAATGTATAAATAAGTGGAACAACAAATCAGTCTCTCTCTCTCCCCCCCCCACTAAATCTGATAAATGTTAAAAAAGAAAAGAATTACATGAGGACCCCATTTAAATTTAAAGAAAGACATTATCTAAATTGATAACGTAGACATTGTTATAATATGAAAAGAACATTGGATTGTCTTTTGGAGGCCCAGTGTTCACTTCTGATACTTACAGTGGTACAAATTTAAACTGTTTTTTTTTTTCCCTGAAATTGGGTTCCTCAACAAAATAAGGATAATAATTAATGATTGTTGTGAGGATCGATTGTGACTAGCACCTAATTTAATGCTAACACATACTTGGCAGTCAGTAATGATTCTGCATTTCACATTTTAAAAAGTGAAAATATAGAGAAATGGAATTTAAAAAAACACAAGCCTAGGTTAAAATATAATAAAGAAGCATATGTTAAAAGAGTCATTTATAGTAGCCATTGGGGAAATGCAAATTAAAACCATGATGAAATACCACTACACATCTATCAAAATGACTAAAATAAAAAAATATTGACAGTACCAAATGCTGGCAAAAATGAGGAAAAACTGGATAATTCACACATTGCAGGTAGAATGGAAAATGGTATAGCTACTCTGGAAAATAAGTTTGGCAGATTTTTTTTTACCAAGTTAACTATAACACTGCCATGTGACCAACAGACTTCTGGAAATTTATCCTAGAGAAATAAAGGTATGTTTATGCAAATGTCTGTATTCAAATACTCATTGCAGCTTTATTTGTAACAGCCCCAAAATGCAAAGAATAAATGTCCTTCAGAAAGTAAACAAAGGTACATCCAAACCATGGACTATTTACCACTAACAACGAAAAAGTAAGGAACTGTTGATATACACAGCAACTCGAATGAATCTGAAGGTCGTTATGCTCAGTGAAAAAAAGCCAATCTCACAAGATTAATACTGTATAATTTGATTTATATAACATTCTAAAATGATGAAATTAAGAGGCAGAAAACATCAGTGGACATCAGGGTATGGAGAGAAGAGGTCAAGGGGTAGCATTAGGGAGTTCCTTTGTAGTGACAGCACACTTCTGCATCCTGATTGTGTGAATGGTTATATGAATCTGTGTGATAAAATTTCATAGAAGTACACACACACACATGCCAAAATGAATTCATGCAAAAACTGGTGAAGCCTCTGGAATGTCTGTAGTCTAGTTAATTGTCAATTTACCAATTTTGATGAGGTACTACAGTTATGTAAGATGTTACCATTTGGAAAAACTGACAATTTTGGGGGAGTTTATAAATATTTCAAAATGAAAGGTTTTGTTGAGTTATTAATGGCTATTAAATTGGGAAAATACATATAAATACTAGTAACTGATGCTAGTGTGTTACGTATATTGCCAGTGGCAATTAAAACGTTAAAGCAATAGATATTATGAACCATAAGTGTTCATAATCTTTGATTACAAGTCTCCATATCTGGTCATTTTTCCTAAGAAGTTAATTCCCCCTGAGATAAACACTATAGATAATGTCATTTGTAATAATAAAATATCCATGTACAAAAAACTTATTTTAAGAGGTGACTAATGTAATAAGTATTAATGTAATGAGTACATTACAATGTATCTACTGTAATATTGTTTAATCAGTTGATAAATATGAAAATAAGCTATACAAAATTATATGCAAGAAATGCATATAAGAGTAAATGCAGTTTTATTTGTTCAATGTTGCTTTAATGTTTATACAATTTTAAAACATAATAGTGAGGTATGGCCAATAGGTTCATCAAGTTAAAATTCATTTTATAGAATGGTTAATTTTTTCATTAAATTTATTGAAGTGACATTGGTTAATAATATCATATAGGTTTCGAGTATAGATTTCTATGATACGTGATCTATCGTATTCTGTGTCAAATCATCTTCTGTCACAGTGTATTTGGCCCCCTTTATTCACTACTTCCCTCCCCCCTTCCATCTGGTAACCACCACACTGTTTTCTGTGTCTATGAGTTTCAGGTTTTTGTTTCACATATGAGTGAAATCATATGGTTCTTACCTTTTGTTGACTTACTTTGTTTCAGATATTCTCAGGGCTCATCTATGTTGTCATAAATGGCAGTATTTAATTGACATTAATGATTGTTTGAAATCCTTTCTTGAACTCTTGCTCTTGTATGTTTTCAGTTCTGCCCACTTTGCCGTTTAATGCCTAATGAGAATTCAAACAGCATCAATGGCAGTTTAATAAGACATTTGCAAGTCAGTCACACTCTGTTTTATGATGATTTCATAGTAAGTATATATTTTTCCTTTTACATTGTCTTTATGCTGTCTGTGTTAAGCTTACCTTTGTAACCTTAGTGGACAAAATTAGGAAGAGATGTGTATATAGCCAAAGCGTGAAGTATTAGCATTAAGTAAGAAACCATAAAAATACAGTGTTTTATAAATTTGGGTATTAATATTAAAGTAGTTATCTGCCTTAGACAAAATTATTTTCTTTGTGATCTATATAATTATCCATTGTATAAACAGCAGATTCGCCTTCAGATTATTTGTTTCTACTCTACTCCATGTGTAGTTATAATTTTTATGAACTTGAAAACTTATATAGCTGAGATGAAATCACATCAATAATGAAATGACTCAGAGAATTTGCTCTGCTTCCAGTTGCTTTTATAGTACATTGAATGGCTGTTAACAGATATGACATTATCAGTGTAGAACATTCAGACATTATTCCTAATTTAAATTTTATAAAACACAAAACTCACTTATTGAACTTTTTAAACCTAAAAAGTTTGTGAAAAATATTAAACTTATACAAAAGTAGACAGAAAGAATAGTATAATAAACCCCCATATACCCATCATCTACCCATCAGTAACCAACAAGTACGGCCAGTCTTGTTATATTAAGATTTTTTATAAAAGGCAGGAAATGTTAGGTATTGTAGGAACAGCCCTAATACTTACAGATATTTCCCATGATCAGAAATGAGAATAATAAGCAAAAAGTTAACATAGCTTTGTTGTACTTTGGTCCATTGTTGCCATGTGAAGGTAATGCATTGTCCTCTGAGTCCCTGTGAGCCTTATTATGGGGGGAAATCACCAAAGCGATGTTCTGAAATAGAATATCTTATTGTTAACTTCTATGCAAATACATGAAGTGGTAACAGCTAATTCTAATTTGCATATAATTTCTCCTGACCTTTTTAACGCTATATCAAGATAAAATTTAATAATTGTTAAAGACTGTCATTTGAAAATTTTCTCCTTGCTTTCTGATCTGCATGCTATAATTATCCAGATTCAATACAAGAAACATTGTAGGCTCTGACCTGGACTTAAGTCACAGCTCTGTCACAACTGTGTGACCTTGAGCAGACCCTTTAACCTATGAGCCTCTCTTTGTTGATTTGTTAAGTGAAGGGAGTAAAAACACCTACTCCCCAAAGCCTTTTTTTTTAGATCTATAATATATTTATTAAACAAAATACAAGAAAGCTCAAAGTACACTGCCTATTTTGTTGCTTAAAGATATCTTCTCTGGTTTATTTAATATCAGCATTACCACAGCTGCAGGAAATTAAATTGAACCTTTAGAAGGTATCCCAAAGCTTTTGAGGTTCAATGAGATAATGCATATAAAGTGATATACTCAGGGTGGTCATGAATGTTAGGCAAATTTGCAATGTGGACAGAACAAATTAGAAGAAGGAATACTTGAAGAATTGAACAAGCTACACCACAAGGCTGTATAGTAGCTTCTGCTCCATCTCTCAAATGATGTCATCTGCTCCCTAAAGTACACAAGGCCTCAATGACAGAGCCTGGTTCTGATCCACGTGTCCTCATTTTTCACAGGGCGTGGGACTTTCTCTTCTTTTAGCTCTATAAGATATTCTGAAAGCCAGGCTGAAGGGGATAATGGTGGAAGGAAGAGGAAGGGACTAGTCAAAGAACATGTATGAATGACCCACAGACATGGACAACAGTTTGGGAATTGACTTGGAAGGTGGGGAGGTGTGGGATGGGCAGGAAAGGGCAAAAGGGGAAAAACTGGAACAACTATAATAGAATAACAGTAAAAAATGATTAAAAATATAAAAGCCAGCTTGATTCCATTACCTATTCTGGCGATGCACATTCAGTCCATTCATAACATGTTTCCAAGTACAAATTCAGGGCTAGTTAGGATGAAGCCACTTTGATGAAAATACTTTCCACCCACTCAAAACTATATTCTTGATATGGAAGTGAGGATAAAACAGTGTTTTTTGTTTGGATTTTTTGTTGTTGTTTCCTTAGCTATCAAGTACTATGCTAGGCACTTTATGTGTATTATCTCATTTTATTCCTTGCAACAACTTCCATCAAGGGAGTACTGTGTTATTATACCTCACTCAGGTATGAAATATCTGAAATTCAAATGTTAATAAATTGCCTAAGAAACAACCAGTGTATCAAGCCCCAGATCTTATGCTCTTCCATTCTTTGTGGCTATCCTTTTAATTTTATCTGTCTTTATGGTGTTATATTTCAGAATGGACTTCAAATAGAGATTTTTACTTGTCTTTTTCTTTTTCCTCCCTCCCTTTCTTCTAGCTTTTAGTTTTTTTGAGGAAGAGGAGATGGGTTGCAAAGGATAGGACCGTTAGTATTTTTTGTTTTGTTTACAGAACATGCTGACAAAGTTTTGAATGCCATTTTGACCATAGGAAGGCAAAGGAAAGAGAGTAGTACCACTGGTGAATCATGTGGAAATGTCTTAATTGCATTCCACATTACATGTTTATGTGGAACCTAGCACTCTGACCAGTATTTGTAATGTTGACCAAAAACTACTCATTAGATCAGACTTAAAAAGCTTTAAATTCCAAACCAAGACTATTTTACTAGGACAATAACTGGCTAATTTGTAGGCAGTAAAACGAAGTAGAAAATGCGCTGGCCCCAAAGCAAAAGTCCTAGGTTCTTTGACTTTTTTTTTGTGGAAGTTCAGACAGGTCACTAAACTAAGGGCTTTAGTTTCCTGCAAAATGAGGAATTACAACAACCATCCTCTTTCAGTTTGTAAAAACTGTTTCTGATTGTATGTTTCTAATTATTTTTCTTACTTATAGGACTTTAATATAATTGAGGAAGCGCTTATTCGAAGGGTATTAGACCGGTCACTTCTGGAATATGTGAATCACTCGAACACCACATAATGTTATTGAAAGGAAAAGGGAGCAAATCATACAACCGCACCACTTGTTAAGATGCTGCTTGAACAGTTGGAGGGAAATTGTCAATGTTTGATGGGAAAAAATGTACAACAGTTATGTTTGCCCATGTTGTTATTTGCATTTTAAAACTGCTTTCATTTTGATGGTTTAAGTCTGTTTCACATTCCTGAGTTTCTTAGATACTTAACCACAAAAAATAGTCTCCATCAGCCATTAATATATAAAAGAACATAAGGCTGGGATTTATGGGTGAAGGATCTTTATGGACCCATTGGATAACACTGTGTATAATAATGCTGTGTATTAATAAATGCCACCATGGTTGGGCAAGGTAACTAATCTTTGTTCTATGTAAAAAGATGGAAGTGAAACAAATTATGGACATCCAAGGAAATATGAAATCTGTTTCAATATTCATGTTCTAATCACTAATAGAATAACATGAATAACCTTGTATGGTAGGAAAGGAAAATTTTGGACATCAATGAAGTCCATTTAACCCAATTGTATAACATAATGTAACAAAATTAATTTTGTGTTAGGAATGTATGCTTAGTTCTTTTACTTTTTATAACTGCACACATTAAGAAGTTAATATTATATTTTTCAAATATTTGTAGCTTATTATTTAGAAATATTTCTATAATGTAGGCAATTTCTTAAGAATCATCAGCGCATATTTACAGTAGAAATATTCACTTCCATAATTTTTAGTGGAAAACCCAAAGGGCTTTGATATTATTTTTCTTTTACCCTTTAGAAAAATTATAAAATAAAAGATAAATACTGACAACCAAACAGGAAATGTATAGATCATTACATAGTGATAGGGAACTCTCACAGATAGTGATAGTTCTCTGCCAGCCACCCTGGATGTCCTCCTGTGACAGTCACAACCCTCTTCACCAGCCCCATGAAAGAAACCACTACATCGATTTCAACAGTTAATCACTTCTTTGCATTTCTTTAGTATTCCGCTACCCGAGTGTGTATCTCTACACACTAATTTTTGATCTTATCCTCTTAAAATTGCCAACAGATAATAATAACATTCCTTTTTAATTTACATGTTCCTCCTTCTTTCTTTTTCTTAAAATTTGCCTGTTGAAGAACCTGGTTTTATGACTTCCAGAGTTTCCCACAGTCTCTATTAGTATTACTGAGAGCAGACTCATGGCACAACCTAGCATGTTTCTTTGTCCTCTGCATATTGACACAGGGATCGAGAGGTTTGAAAAGACTTTGGCAAGACTATAGGTCATGATGTGTCCTTTCATCAGAGGGCATGTAAATGTCTGCTTCTCTCTTTTTGTGACATCAGCAAAAACTGATACTGCTTACTTTGATCCATTGATTTATTGTGGGCTGGAGAATATTCTGTCATTTCTTTTGTTTATTACTTGGAACATTTTTGTAAAGAGATGTTTCCCCACATTTATGATTTGGTTATTCGATGGCAATATTCATATAGAAAAGGGAAAACAAATATTTGAATTTTTCCCTTTATTTACCAATTTTCAAGATAATAAAATTGCTTCCTATCATCTTCTAGTGATCACTTTTTTTAAAGTATTGTGAACTAATTCATAGGTTAAAACATTTTATAGAGTTTAATTCATTCAAAATATTACCTTATTAAAGCTCAAATTGTCACATCTTTGTCCATTGGGTGCCTCATCAAGTTGTCTCTGAGTCCTTTTGACACTAGCAATCTTTAATAGCTTCCTTGCTGTCTCATATGACAGAATATTTCAGGCTCAAATTGTATGTTTCTTCCCCCAGACCTGGAATTGGCCATTTCACAAAGAAGTCTGGACATTTTCAATGAGAAGTGGTATTTGAAAACTATAATTGGGGCTGTTATGCTTATTGCAACTAGGTTTGCCATTGTTTCTGGGAAAAAGCTAGGAATATCTTTGTCTTTTAAAGAAAAATTGCTTCATGAGTTTATTTTGATACTTCCAAATCAAACTGAGAACTACAGGGTTTTTACCTATCCTTTCTATTTCAACTGTCTTCATTTTTCTGTACTGAGAATCCTGGTTTTCAAGACACAGGCCACAACAGAATTAGAATATCCTACAGATACTCGTTTCTTTATCTACCTTACACACACAACTGTCTCAGAATAACAGCACTAATACAACCACCGCCAATATTTAATTAAAACAAACACTTTTTAATTTGTTCTCCCCATTCTCTATTTTTTTAAGTTGTACTATATCAATATTTTCAGAACATATTGGTATGGTATAACATACTATACTCTCTCTATCCCCCATTTAGTCTTAGTTTTTCAAGTAACTATGTTCAGTGCTTGCTACCAGTCCTTATTTGATAGCTCTGTTTTTCATACCTGACTCTATAATGATGAATCCAGAAAAAAGAATAATGTTTCCATCTGGAAATCAAGCCATTAAATTAATTAAAATGTTATTTGGCTGCAGTTAGCTTTTAAATTATAATTATTTATAAACTTTTTTTGTTTTTTACACGCAGTCATGGTACCCAAAATATCTCTAATAAACTATCCATTACTTCTTAAAAGTCTTAACTTACGATTTGGTCTTCTACTACAGGGTAATTAGAAAAACATAAAGCTGATGAAGTTTAGAGGGCTCTATTTCCTCCTAGTTAGATACTGACTTCACATCTGTGAACAAGTAACAACAGATTTTTAGTTTCACAATCTTCCTCCAATTTGGAGAGATTATCCAATAAAGCCAAACCTGTTGGACAAGGGCAAAAGGAGAGGAACTTTTCAGAAGTAATCATCAGACTGAAAATCTAGTCCCTGAAAAGTAAAAGAAATATACTTCTGAGCATTAGTACTAACTATCCAGAAAATAAATCTTTGTTAATTTAGAGCAATACGAGAGTCCACTTTAAATCTGTGAAACTTGAAAAAAACTTTAAAACTTTAAATACCGTATTTTAAATAAAGCTTTAAGTCACCTACCACCGTTGACCTCAGTGCAGCAATTCTGCATCCTGCCTGGATTCCTCACTTGATAATTTTGCCACCTACAGGAAAAATTAGGTGCTGGACACCTGGATTATTTTGCTTTTCGAATTATTTTGAGTTCCAAAATGGTCAAGTGCAAATATTGCTTGTTTTACTGTGCCTTTAACTTCTGATAAAAAGGAACTTAAAATTCATTGTTCAAAATATGAAAACCAATATATGAAGCTATTGACAATGAAAAATTTCACTTTGTTAATAGTGCCTCAAGATGCAACTTCTTCAAGGCCTTAGAAAGGAAATCTGATTCACTCGTTATTCTTCAAAAGCTAAATTCTTCTAACCCTACAAAAACTTATGGAGATTTTCCTTTCATATATTCTTTCATCCAAGTTTTTATAATGCAGGTTGAAAGCTGGATTGTGAATCTGAATCTATGGTAAAGATAGCTCTAGGTCAGATCTCCTAACATACTGTGGCTCCAACAATGTTGCTTCGTTACTTTTACTGGGTGCTAAGTATCTTTCATTTTGAGGTGAGCTTACTCCAGTTATTGAATGTTTATTATATAATTTGTATCTTTAAGCATTGAAGTTCTTTTAAAGTCATTGAGATCAATTCTTATGCAACTGCAAAAAGAAATCTGTATAAAGATCAGAATTTAAAATGTACAGTTCTTTTTTCTTCTGTAAATATGTATTGTGAGAAATAAAGAATGGCGGGACCATTAATTTCATTAAAATATCTATTGTGTCTATTCTTAAATATTCATCTTGATAATTTTTTATACAAACCAAATAAGCTTTTAAAATTGTCATCATTCAACAATATTTATCACAAAAATACACCTTCATGTAGGCCTCTCAGAGAACATTTGGCAGTGTCTAGAGATGTTTTTTGTAGTCATAACTGGGATTGCTGTTGGCTAGGGATGTGGGTAGATGTCAAGGATGATGCTAAACATTCTATGATGTACAGGACAGCCCCCTCACAACAGAGAATTGCCATGGCCCAAATGTCAACAGTGTTGAAGTTTAGTAACCCTGATTTAGGCCAAAGTAATACTGATCACCATGGAGTTACTGGTTCTGCTTCCAAGGAAATCCCTGGGAACCTTGGGGTTTCAATGAAATCCCAAGGGGCTTCATTGAAATTTAGGTAAAATATAGATGAACTCTTACTCTCTGCTAAATATTGATACACACTAACTTTTCGGTGGCTGTAACTGTCATTTGTACCACAATTCAGAATATACTCAAACATATGAAAGCTTTTTAGATTTTTCACAAGAGATACAGACCAAAACATAAGTATTATTGACATGACCTATGATGAGTGACATCCTGAGAAAGGGAACCAGGATGAGTTGGGAAGGATTACTTTTGTTATCTAGACTACCTTTATTGAAGTAAACAAGACATTCAGAGGGCCACCTATATCTGAGATCCTTCAGGCTAAGAAATGCCTATTTTTACCTTATTACTAGAAAATAATCTGGTACTTTGATCCTGCAAATTTCAGAAAAAGCCACATGTGGTTCTTGATTAAGGCTAATCATGGCCCACAAAGCAACCATATAAGAGACTCAGTGAAGGTGAATCCAAGGAGCAACTGGTCAAGAGAGACCAGGTCATGTGTGGCCATCAAAACCTCGCATCCCAGCACTCGACTAAGGTATACTGTGGATCCTGGGTATTCTCCAGGCAGCTGTTGTCTAACCTCAGAATTACAGATTACTTTGATCCCATGGCATTTATATGTCACCATGTGCTTCTCATCATAACAGGCTGGAGAAGTGGTTGGTTACACAGGTAACACAGGCCTATCTCCAGATACCCTCCTACTGGGGATTAGGGTTTCAACATAGGAACTTTGGAGGGACAGAAACATTCACTCCAGAATAACATGTTAGTTGAATAGAAAAATGAATGGCTGACAAATGGATCAGACTACTCATGTTAGATCGTCTGCATATTCTTTTCTCCCTAGCAAAGACTATATGGGGAACAAAATTAAAGAGAGCAGCACTATGTCTGAATTTGCTCATTATTGTTTCTCCAGAACTTAGCATGCAGTGCTATGCACCTATAGGCACTCAATATATACCTGATGAATAAATTAGTGAATAAATTGTAGTCTGAGAAGCACTGACAAGATGTTCTTAATGCATAAGGTCTTCACGCCAGAGATGCATCTTTTCTCTTTAGAGATATACCTGCCAAGTGAACCAAATTACCAAACAACTTCTTTCCTTAGAGTTCTAAAGCAAAGATTTGTTCCAGTGGTATAACCCTTAAAGGAAAAGCAGCATTAATTTGTCTTCATTCAGGGGGGAGAAGGTACAGAAAATAAGTAGCATAGATGGTAGGTAGAAAATAGATAGGGGGAGGGCAAGAATAGTAGGGGAGACATAGAATCTAAAGAACTTGAGACACCTGGTCATAAACTAAAGGGGGAATGGTGGGGGAGCAGGTGTGCAGGGTGGAGGGGAATGAAGGGGGGGAATAGAACAACTGTAATGGCATAATCAATAAAATATATTAAAAATTGCCTTCATTCAATAATATTAGAAGTATGGTGCTAATTCTGAAGCACAACTGCATTTTCTATATATAATAGTTGCTGAGTTTAATTTGTTCTAGATTATACATTGTAGTAATTTGCTACATAGTTAACCTAGGTAGCCAAATAAACTTGTTTAACCCCAGTAAACAGATAAAATGAAGAAAATATTTAGTTTTTATTTTCATTCTATTGGATACCCTCTAAGTGTATATCACTTTGTCCTTTTGACATATTCATAATAATGTCTGCAAGAAGGTCAAGTCATATGCAAAACCATACTGTCTTTTGCCAGTATTTCAAGGGTGTGTTGTATAGAAGTTTCACCCTTGAGGCATTCTGATTTTAAAATTACCTTAAAAAGAAAAACAATAATTTTATATCTAAAAAAAATAAAGTAGTCAAACTCTTAGAAACAGAAAATAGAACAGTGGTTGCCAGGGGCCAGTGGGAGGGGAAAAAGGAGAGTTAGTTTTTCCATAGATACAGAGTTTCAGTTCTGCAAAATGACAGAGTTCTAGAGATACGTTGCATAACAAGGATCATAGTTAACACAACTGTGGTACCCTTAGAAACAGTTAAAATGGTAACTTTTATGTTATATATATTTTTATCACAACAAACAAACAAACAAACAAAACTGGTATATGCATAAACCAAATACCATGGTGTGTATATATTCTTATGCCACTTAGTTTGAAAACTTACAATTGTTGGTGAAATTTAGGAAAGAAGTATTATCTCACTGGCAAACCAGTAGGGTTTCAAAAATAAATTATTTAAATATAGAGACTGAACAACTCTCCTCCTTGTTGCTATTTTTTCTGCCCTCTGGTCTCAAGACTTCTGTTGAAGTTTAAGGCACACAGCGATGTTTGCTGCTTTTTTCCCCCAGATGCAGTGGTTGTACATTCTTATAATTACTTCAGTCACCAATCTTAGCTGGTATCACTTAATTAAAGGGGTTTTGAAGAAACTCCTAGGAAGAGAAGGCAGTGCTTACTGTTGGCGCTGTTGTTTTTCACACTGAATATCTTGATCTCAAATAATTTAGCATTTGGGGACCACCAGGGGAGAAGAGTTTGCCTGAGACTAATGTCAACCTAAGCAAAACAGAGCCAAGAGAAGGTGAGAAACTAAATCCTGATATATTTTGAGCCCCTGGTTTCAAACATGCATTTTCTCAGCTTTACCGCTGGAATAGGGTGAGCTAGAGAAACCTATTTATTTCTATCACTTGCAGTCCCCCCCCAAATTTAACTAATGTGGGTTCCATGCTGTATCTCTGAATTCTTAAAATTTATTTACCTCCTTATCTAGTTCAAGTTTGGCTCTGTAGTTTATACCTAAGTCTTAAGTGATATAAAAATCAATACCAGAAATGGGATCATTACTTTAGATCATAAGACAAAATTGTGAAGTAGCTGAGCTGTGGCTGGGTTGGGGGTGCATGAAAGTGAAGATTCCTGCATTGTGTGTGGGGTAAGAACTCAAGATTTTGTGTGTAGACGTAAGGCTCAAGGCATATGGTCATAGAAGCTTTAGAGGACTTAGGAGCACAATGCAACAATGGGTCAGTATCAGTATGTCAGTTTTCATCTATTCATTCTCAAATCTGAACTTATTCCTTTTTGCCTGCTTTGTGAAAATGAAATGGGTCCTTTAAATATTTTTCTTTTGCCAGGTGGCACAATAGTAAGATTTGCCAATAGAGGGCACTAGAGAGAAATTTCGGGAGGAAAAGGATTTGTTTCCTGTAGCTCACTGGGCCAGCCCCAGCTTCTTCAGTGCCCCGTGGCCAGCAGCCCCCTGCATACAGAGGCTTCCTCCAACATTTCTCTGGGTGGTACTGTAGCAGAATACCTTCCATGAGATACTGCTTTGTGAACAAATAGTTTTCCAGCCAGTTCTGACAGCATGGCACCACAGGGACTTCTCTGCCATCCAGTGAGCCACAGCTAGGACCTCTCCAGCAAGGTCAGGATCTTAGCCCTAAGTGGTGGTGGTAGTGGTAGAGCCCTTCTTTGGATACTTTATTTCAACCCTGTATTCCTAAAAAAGGGGGGACACTTCATGAATTTGCATGTCATCCTTCCGTAGGAGCCATACTGATATTCTATACAATATTCCAGTTTTAGTATAGAAAGGGAGTGCTCATCCCTCTATTCTTTAGAGTTCTCTATTTCTTATACCAGTGTATTAGTTAACATTATTTATATGAACTTTTCTCAGTTCAAATTACTGTGTATGTTCAAATTCCTCTTTCCTGATTTGACCCAGACTTGTAAGTCAAATGTTGAATTTTCCTGAGTGCCAACAAAAAAATGTGCATACTCCCATCAAGATCTTCCTGGGTGTGGGTAGAGAAAAAGAAGACTTGGGAATTGAGAATGTTGGGGTCCAAATCAAGTAAGTAATCATTGGCTGGCCTGAGGGGCAGAAGTCTCCTTCTCTGATTCACCTCCCCTTCTGTATATAAAATGGAAATGCTGACAGAAAATGTGAGATCCTGGAGGATTAATTCAAAATGTGAATTAATAGAGGATTTGCAGTACCCTGACTCCCTGAACCACAACACTGTGTGGTTATTGGAGTGTTGCTGGCTGCCTTCCTGAGAAACAGAATGGCACTGCCATTGAAATACACACTGAACTGGAATTCAGTTTGGGGGTCAGTGATATTTTAGAAGACAGAGAAGAGCTCTCTGCCAGCCCAGCCAACTTTCTTCCATCTTGTCCTGAGACAAAGTTTGTCAAATAGAGTAAACTGGGTATGTGTTGCCCCCAGAGTTTCCGCTGACAAACAGAAAATCTATTAAGTGTAGCCCTGTTTTGGATTTTCAATTTAACAAAGCTTTTAGTATTTACTTTTCTGAAGTTCTCCTACAATGAAACTGATAGACAGGTTGTTATAGAAAAATGAAGCAACCAGACACCGAGGGATTCTGGAGTACGAGGTTTATCAACGTGCATGGGCCCAGAGGAGTCAATCTCCAAATTCTGAGCCCCAAACAAAGGATTCTTGGGGTTTATATAGTCTACGGGGTCTTCCTGTCTACATAGCAAAGCGAGATACAGAAGTGGAATGCGGTAATTAGTTCTATCTAAGGGGCAGAAGCAGAGTACAAAGGCTAAATGTGAAAATTAGTTCTATCAGTGGGGGTACTAGCCCCAGTCCTTGTGACTATCCTGCTGTTTGCTTCTCCCAGACGGCCTTATTGCTCTCCCAGGGTGCCTGGGGTTTTGGGTGAGCAAAGGTTTTTCAAAGCTTCCCACATCATTCCCCCCTTTTATGCTAAACAACACTAGTGCTTGTTTTAGCATAACAATATTCTTCTTGTAGGAATAAATAAGTCCCCCCTTTTCCTGGATTTAGAGTATTAATGAGGTTTCTTTCCCTTCTGGAATTATATACAGGACAATGGACGAAGGTCTCATCTTCTTGTAACTTCTTCCGGCTGGAAATGGACGCTGTCCTACCTACCCTTGGGTCAGAGGTACCCTGAAAGGGGGGGGGGTGGCAGCATGGAGGGAGTCCTTCCTGCAAGGGGAAGGACCTTACAGGGTCCTGATCAGTTGGCTGTCACCCGGACATCGCAGGCTTGGTGTCCAAAGGCTGGCATTACTGGACTGTTGGCATACTGGTCAAGTTATATTCTGGAGGTGACAGATTAAGCAAGAAATTGGAAGTACAATTAAATTATAACTATTAATTGACAAAGGTAGTGACTTCAGTAAAGAATGGCTTATCTAGTGGAAGGTGCACAAGGCATGCTATACCTATCTAAGACTCTTGTGGCCTGTACTTCACTTGGGCTGAGGGGAATACATTAAGATTTCTCTCCTTTCAGATTTCTGAGCCCTTTCTGTCCAAGCTATGAAGACAGAAAAGGGAAAATCAGTTCTAAAGTGAAGCCCACAGACTGCCCCAACCTTTTATTAACTTAACTACTTAGTTCAACCAAACCGTTGATTCTCAGGAGGGCGATGACAAAGATGGGCTCTTTAAGTGAGGCTTATATTGCTATTAATTACTCATAGGCATAGGCAAGTCATAGGCATACGCCCTATGAAAACAGAAGAACATACAGGTTAATTAACACAACAATCTCCAAACCAGTCTCTGCGCCTGTGAGACTGTCTTTTGGGAAGACATTCCATTGCAAGGTCCTCTGCACCTGTAAATTGTACATCTTTAGTGATATCACAAACCTGGTTTCAACTCTTTAATGAAAAGAAACTTTCAAGACAGTTAGCTGCACTATTCTGATGTCCAATACTGAGCATTGTGATTTTCTTTGAACTACAATTTTTCTCCTTAAGATCACCATCACTGTTATTACAGGGACTACTTTGGGTCCCGCTTTTGATTTTGGCTGTTCGTTTGCATAAACAGACCAAGAGCAGCCTGGATCACTTTTGATCCTTAAGTCTGCTTTGCTGGAACTCACACAGGGAACTCTTAGACTGACTTCTCAGTCCGCCCCTCAGGGCACAGAAGCAGAGCCACACATCTGCCATCTGGCTTTGCCTGTACCAGTTGTTTCACTCAAATCCTTGAGCCTCTATTGTGCCTACAGGTTCCTTTGTAGCCATCTTTCAGGAAAGCAACCTTTATTCCTTTCCTGGAAAGACTGGCATGAACCGCACAACCAACCAAAGTACCAGGCTTTTCTCGTGGGCTTTCACTAGCTTCACAGGTCAATCCCAGTTCCTCTGAGCTTTCTGGTAACGACCAGAACATATATGCTTCCTTCAGGCACCACATTCCAGTCAAAGTCCTGGTTAACAAAACTACTATTAATAACTGGTCTTATTTGGTTTTATGCAAAGAAACCTTATGTCATCATTCATTACTTCAGAGTGCCAAATTCTGGAGGGATCAGGTAGAAAGAAAAATACAAAGCGTGATGGAAAATCCTTTTCCTTCTGATACCTACTAAGATTGCATCTACATGCCTTATACCTTCCATCACTAACTCTACATAATTTCTTTCCAAAAGTTTTGCAAACTTCTACAACCTTTTACATACCCTTTTCTATCTGCATAGCTTTCCACAGCAACATCTAAAAAACTTTTACATCTTTTCATATACTTTTTTATTTATAAATCTTATACTTTCTATTGTTCATTTTCTTACAGAGTATGAAGTTTCAATTTTTTCTGGAATCCTCAATTTCCTTTCTCAGAGTGGATACAGAGCAAAACCTGAAACACAGAGTTCTGAAACAATACACAGGTAGAGGCATTCTCTTGCACCAATGCGTCCACTGGTGCCTTGCAGAGACATGCTCCTTCAGGCCCTGTCTCATGGCAGAGACATGCTGCTTTGCCTCAGGCTGAAACATTTATCAGCCCCTAATGACCCTTCCTGGATCCTGGGTGGCAAAGGCATCCTCTCCAACCGGCTACAGTGACCTTTTCTAGGTCTTCAGGTACACAGGGTTTCTGATCAGAAACAACCAGTGGCAGAGAAATTCGCTCTTTTCCCACAAAACCAGAAAACAAGTAGTTGACTTTACTCTAGGTTTAAAACTTTCATATCCTTTATACATATTTCTACTCATCTAGATTTAATCATCATTCTCTTTTAATCTTGGTTCCTTTCCCACACTGGGAAAGACTATACTTAAACTCAGTATGTGGCAGCTAAAAGTCCCTAGCACTATAGATATCTTCTACTAAAAGTCCCTAGATTCGCAGGGACATTTCGTACCTTTCTGAAGCTTAGAAATCGTAAATACCCTATAAATTAGGTGGTCACTCTTGGACCTCGGTTCATGACTTTCAAAACCAGAGCCATTACCATTAGAACCAGTTACACAGAGAACCTGACTGCTGCAGTGACCACACAGCAGTAGCATGCAGCCTATAATCTAAAGAGAAGCCTTATCCAGGTCCAAGATGGCAACCCCCGTGCATGCTCTGTCCTCCAGGTGGGACACTCATGTGGCTCATCTATTTTACCTACAATGGCAGTATCCCTGACTCTGGTTCCACTCACCTGGGAAGGTCTCAGGACTCCGGTTTCAGGAGCCCAGGAAGCCCCCAAGGCCCTTTCCACCCGCAGGCCTGGGGGCACCACAGAACTGCCCTCCACCCACTGGGGGTGGTGCACTGAGGCTGCAGTCACCAATGCAAGTGGAGAGCAGGCTCCGCCCACCTGTGAAGGTCAGGGCTCTGTAGCTCCATTTTCGGGAGCCAAAGCAGCTCCTGGCAACCCCTGCTGCGGTGGGTAAGCAGAGCCCACTTGCAGAGGCTGTGAATCCGAATCCGTGGTGGGACTTCTCCCACTTGCAGGGTGGGAGAAGCCATAGTGGGCCTCACCTCCCCAGAAAGCAGCGTCACCACCCGGAGTTCCTGCTGTCTGGGGTCCCCCATTGTCTATTCTGAGAATGGGAGGAGGTTTCCCAAAGACTAATACACACGGGGCACAGCCCAAAGGGCTAGGGGCACTCCCAACCCTAAGCAGCACCAGCGGCAGCAAATCAGTCCAGCCTCCCGGTGGAACCCAGCCAGAGCTTCCCCCCTAGAGTCCAGTCCATGCGCTCCACCCTTCCCGAGCTCTGGGGTCAGCATGCAGTGTACCCATCCTGCCCCGACCTGTGCTCCTTCTTCTTGGACACCCGGCACCCTGTCTTCATTAGCAGTTCAAACAGCTGGCAAGGTCCTTCCCAGCACCGGTTTCGGGTTGGTGCAGCTGAAAGGAGGTTATCTATGCACCGATAACACTGGGTCAGTCTCCTTCTTGGTAAATGATTTTAGATCTCTGGCCAGGACCTCTCCTAGGGGAGTGGGAGAGTTTCTGAAGCCCTGTGGCAGTTTGGTCTGGGTCCAAGCCAGCTAACCAGAGGACTGTAGGCGCCTGTAACCCTGGTCTTTGTCGCCTGCCAGTGGGCTTTTCTTCTTTCCTTTTTGGGCCATTCTCTTTTCTAGTACCCCTTCTCTTTGCAGTAGGCGCACTGGTCTCGTTCCGTGCTCCAGTGTGCTGGTCTATTTCTGTCTTAGGCAATCTGGTGGCTCCCTGCTCCCGGGAGGTATCTGGTTTCCTAAATGACCCACTGCTAGGGCCGCCAGCACAGGCCCAAGAGGTCTTCACAGCTCCCTCCTGGCTCAGTCACGGGGCTTGGCTGGGGCAGCCCTGCTTGTCTCCCTGGCAACCCC